GGCGCGCGTCCAATGTCGATTAGCGGGTGGAGCAGGACGGCTGCGGCCCGCCCCGCGCCCCAAGGCCAAGGTCTGGTTAGCGCCGCCACGCCCCGCCACGCCCCGCCGCTACCCGCCGCTACCCGCCACGACCGCGCCGTGTCAGTTTTCGCTGTCATTCCCCGTGATGATTATTGATTTTCTCGCGGCGCGATGGTCTCGGTATATCGCTTAGGAAACGTCTGGCCGGCGCGCGCGCGCCCCGCGGGCCCGAGTGGAGGAGCTGCTGTGCTGAGTGGGCCGCCCAGGTCCGAGTACTGTACCTGTCCCACTCGCACTCGTTTGGGGCGGGGGTGGGGTGGGAGGCGCCCGCGGCGGGTGCGACGAGGACGCGCGCGGCCTCGCTGGCGTCTCCGTCACTCTCGCGGCTCTCGCGGCCCGCGGTGACACTCGCGTCGTCACGTCAGTGGTGCGCGGCTCTCGCGGCGCCCGGCAGTGCCATGAGGACCATCGTCGAGTACGGCGACCTGCCGCCCGGCGGCGCGGCGGACGTCGCCAGGTCGCGCTTCCTGGAGGCCTGGCTGGAGGAGGCCGCCGACGAGCACGCGCACCGGGACCAGCAGCACGTCGTCGACAAGGTGCCCACCCCGCCGGTTTCCCCCCGCGCTAGGCTTGGCGTTTGAGACAAGACAGGGCCGCCTGCTCGCAGTGCGGGAGGGCGCAGCTCGGCGGCGCGATTTTGGCAGCGGTTCAAAAGCGGCTTGTCTCGGCGCGCTTGGTATTGGCCCGCGCTGCCCGATGTTATGTTCCCATTCATCCCTTTTTGTTGCCGTTGCTGAGGCTCTTCTTTGTCCCGGCGCGGCGGGCAGATTGCCCGTTGTCAGCCCCGGACAATTAGCGGCCGGTCTGGTCCGCGACGTGCTAAGTCGCGTCCAAGGGCGGCGCGGAGCCCACGCCTCCTCGCTCCCGGCCGGGCGGCCGGGCGGAGGAAAATGGGGCGAAATACCGTGGAGCGGTCCCCTCCAAAAATTTGCACAAATGGTACAGCGCAACGCGTTGACGGTTGACGGCGGCCCCCTGCCTGCTGCGGTTGCCGGGCTGCCGTGCGCCGCGCCGTCTATCTTATCAGCCGACACCGCGGTGCTCCCCGCGGCCGCGCGTGGCGCTCTGCAAATACTGTACGAACAAGCAAGGCCAATGAGGCGTCCGCGTATCATGTAATAATTCGCCAAACTAGGGAAGGAAATTTGCAAAATTGCCCGGAAAATTTCCGGTAAATAACGAAAAACTTCCATAGTCTGGGAAAATTTCCATTTTTTTGCCGGAAAATTTTCCGGAAACTTTCCAGGGCTTCGACCGAACGCTATTTGACTTGACGACCTGCGAGGCCACTTTTGGCCCAAAGGTTTCGGTCCGACCGGTCCAACTCAACGCCAAATGCTAATCCTCCCTCCCTTGTTCTGTTTTGCGTTGCAGCCCCCGGAGAATGCGCTGCAGGGCCTGCAGAACCGCGTGCTGTCGGAGCACGAGCTGCGCGTGCAGCGCTCGCTGCAGCAGCTCAACGTGCCCGACTGGTACAAGAACAGCGCGCGGCCCGCCGAGGGCTTCCTGCTCAAGCGCGGCTCGGCGGACGCGGGCGGGCAGCCCGGCACCGGGCGCGTCCGCTCGGCCGGAGGCTGGCCCGGGCTGGGCGTCAAGACCACGTCGCTGTCGTCGCTGCGCAGCCCAACCACAGGTGAGTTGATTGATTTAATTGATAGTTGTAGTTGCGCGGTCGGTATGATTGGGGCTAATAACGGGCTGTCCGCCCATGGACCGCTCAGCCTAGAAGCGAGCCTAGAAGTCAGGGAAGTGCGAGGCGATATGGGCCTGTCAGAAACAATTGAAATAATGTCACTGCATTTCTTGGGACTTGGAAAAATAAAAATTGGAGTTGAAATTTTGAGTACTTGCGGAACTTAAAGTGACCTCGAGATGGCGCGTATATTATTTGCATCCTTGTACAACGCTCTTGTGCGTTTGGTTTCAGCTGTGCGACTCGGCTCCTCGCCCAGCCCCCCTCCTGCGGCGTTCACCCGCTGGAGCTCTAGCAGGCTAGCGGGCAGCTGCAACGCCACGCCCAGCACCTCGCCCTGCGGGTCGGCGAGGTCCTCCTTCAACCACCGGCAGCCCTACCTGGGCTGGCGCTCGCAAGAGCGACTCTCGGGCACACCCAGGACGCCGGCCGAGAGGCTCGCCCAGGGCCTCCTCGAGCAGCGCGAGCAGCAGCGGCTGCAGCAGCGGCTCCGGCCCAACGGCGACAGCAGTCAGGTAAGCGGACGGGGTAGTTGACAGAGACCTGCATCTCCGCGGCCATCACAGCACAGACAGCCATAGAAGTTGGACAAGTTCATAGTGAGTCTAACGTTGTCTTTCTCGCTGTGTCCGTCAGGCCCAGTCGTCGTCACCGAACCTCTCCGACGTGCGGTCTTCCATCAAGGAGGTCACCTCCGCAATCGTGCACTACGTGTCCGCCGCCAACGGCCCCGGGTCAAGCTCGGACGTTCGCGTCGGCGCGCCCGCCGCCTCCAACAGCGACCTCCGTGGCGGCCACCCCAGCGCGTCAACGGGCTCCACCCCTCGCGTGTGCTGGATCGAGTCCTCGTTTGTGGGCTCGAGGCCCATCGAGCAGCCGCAGACCCCCGACGAGAGCGTCGTGTCCACCTCGCCGCTGCAGCTCTCGCACCAGGACCTCTACCTGGACCTGAAGGACCTGAAGCAGAGGCCGTCCCCCCTTGGCCACGGCCACGGCCCCCACAACGGGCCCCACCAGAACCACGGTGAGTTCCTCCGCGCGTGAGGAGGGACTCGTACTGGACGACGGCCATTTAGCCCTGCCTGTCTGCATGGCTGTATGTCTTATTTATTATTACTACTTTTATTTCATTAGTGTCATTTTTGTGCCTTTCCTTTTTTTGTTGTTGTCATCGTCTCGTCTTGTCTGTATGTCAACCTCTTATTCTTGTCTTGTATTCCCCTTCCTATTCTTCATCATCATCATCATCGTCATCACCATCGTTATTCATCCTCCTATCCGGTGTGCTAGAATGTGTAAGTCGAGTGGATATTAGGAAGACGAGTTATTAGCTGCTAAGGTCATGCTTAACAACAAGCGCTGGATTTTTAAAAGTTGGGCAGGGTTTTTAGAGTTTTTTATCCCCTGGTAGGGTACACACTCTATATATTTGTGGCAGTTGTGAGATTGGCAGTTTTTTCACATTTACTTCCATGAGTGTCGCTGGCCTGAAAGTAAACCAAAGACAGTCCCTTATCAAAGAGTTTTATGTGGTAGGAAGAAAATCAGGTGTTCAGGGACAGTATGATAGCATTCAGACATGTTTGCTTGTTGCCAGCTTTCCCAGACGAGATCGACACGCATCAAGACAGCGACTCCAGCGAACATACTCTCAAGCGAACACCGAGCAAACGAGACACTGCCTTCATTCGGAAAAGGAACCGGAGAAATCTTAATAAAAAGAAAAAGGGATCCAAAACGTGGAGAACAAAATCAAAACTGAAAGTTGTATCTCTCGAGGTATTATTTGGAATAGGAGTTTGCATGCTTTGATTCCTAAGGCAGTATAACGTTTTAATTTATTGAGAGGCATAGATACGCCTAGTCATATGCTTGCCTCTTGCCCCCTATTTTAGACATGAATCTGGCTGATTGAACCACAGTTTTTACTACTGTTGCATACATAAATCTTCTGTGATTTTAAAAATAATTCTCCATTGTTTTGACAAAAGTCCGTGATTGGCTCTAGAGACTGATGATCATTCAATCACATTGTTTTCTCATCCCATCCCTTTGCGAGACCTTTTGGTCTTAATTTAAAATGGGAATAATGATTAGGTTTATGTTTTTTTGTTAGTGGTGCTCTTGTGTAAGTGTCCAGATGTATAGTGTACAGAGAAAATCTATTTTTGTGTTGTTTTTTGTATCACCTCAGAAGTTCCTACCAGAAAATCAAAATAACTTTATTCTATTTATTTTAGGGCAACTTATGTCATATTAGTTGGTAGGAATTGCTGAGGCTGTATATAAGATGAAAGTAAGATAATACCTACCTTCCTGTTATTAGATTCTCCAGAGGCAGGAGATCAAGTAAACTCTTTGGGTGTTTAGCCTATAAATTTTAATAAACATGACAGAAGCTGTATTTAAAGAACTCAAGGGCATGATTGTAGGTCAGGGAAGCTCTGCATTTTCACTCCTGGCTGGTGACAGATGGGGCCACTGTCATAGTTTCCAATGCCACCAGAAACGTAGTCGAAAGACCCCCATCTCTGACCAACCTAATATCACTCAATGAGTGAGGAAACTGAATTTGTTACGCTTTATTCTGAAATTGCCTATTTTTCCCTGGGTTTCAAGAGGAAAGAATGTTTTGGAAGGAACTTGCAGTGAACAGTAAGAAAGTGACTATAAATTAGGATATTTTCTTGTTTTAATTTTGTTTTTAATTTGCATGCTCTTGCTTGTACATTTGTATAAGCCATGGAGCAATTAATGTCTATCCTCTGAGAGGGTAAAGTCAAATTACATTGGGAGGAAATCATTTCATTCATGTCATTTTTCAACGATTCAAACTCATTCAGCTCATTGCCCATACAGCTGAGCATCTATTCATCGTTCATGTCATGAGTTGCTTTTCTGACCAGATAGTTTGCACACAAATCCACCATGAAAAATGTGCACCATGTTATCATCCATTTGTTGGCTTTATTTGTTTCAAATCACCTATGTGTTTCATTTCTTAGGTAGATTGCCTATTGCTTAAAGTTGTTTTATTTTTCTGTCTTAAAGCGCTCTGACGTGTGGGTGCCAAATGTGCATGCCATAAATCAAAAGGACCATTACGCCAGTTAGTTGTAAACCTGCCTCTGTAGTGCTCCTTTACATTGATTGTAGTTCTTGAGTCCGTTACTGTTGAGATTAGAAATATATGTAAAATCTTTGGTTTGTAAAGGCCTTGATTTTCTTGACAGGTATCACAATATGTTTATAATTGATTGTTCTCTATGAATTCCATTTTTCATTGCTGGCTACTGCTAAAGAAAAGAGTATAGTTCAATTTTTATTTTGTTCTTTTTCTACAAGTAAGCCTTCCGTATATAGCTTGTTGCAATTTTCTTCATTGATTTCATTGTAGAGCATTTTGTTGAAAGACAATTCTGAGTGTTTCACTTAATTGTGGTTTTGTAAATAAATCTTTGACTTTCGTATATGTGTTTTTTATTTCCTTTTTTTTATGTTTTGCTTTGTCAAAATAGTGCATGCGCATAGATCATTCACGAATCACTCGGCTATAAATTTGCTTTTTAGTTCCTTATTCACTCATAAATGTTATTATTGATACGCAATCAGAACTTTTAACGTAAGATGACATTACTGTTCTCCTCGCCCACCTAGACCTCCACGAGCGAATCACCACCGTAGCTTGTATTCACTTCATAGGGAGGAGTCTGCTGTTAATTCGCCTAGCTGCTACGCGATCAAGGGTTGTTCACAATTATGTCCGGTACATCTCTGTGTGAGTTCGAGGCATCGCACGAGCGCGAGCCGGCTAGCTCGCACGGCTCCAAGGCTCGACGCGACTGTCCACCCCCCAGGCGCTCGACTCTGTTAGGCGCGGGTAGGCCAGCCCGCACGGCTCCAAGGCTCGACGGGACTGTCCACCTCCCAGGCGCTCGACTCTGTTAGGCGAGGGTAGGCCAGCCCGCACAGCTACGAGGCTCGACGGGACGGCCCACCTCGTAGGCGCTCGACTTGATCCGCGGAAAAATGCCCAAAACCTGTCGGCCAAAATACAAAATCCCAAACGACGACTTTGCTTGTGCCTTTCGCTAGACCAGAACCCTTACCGCATGCCTCACAACCGCGACTTGCACACAGCGACCAACAGAGCAAAGCCACTCACCCACCCCGTACAAGTACAGCCCCCTGCATGGTCATGTGCGACCTGGTGCACGCAGGGTCGACGGTGACTTCAGCAGCCTGCGCCGCCCGGCCGACCTCGCCGTCGCCGACGACACCAGCGGTGACGGCCTTGCACGTGCCCTACCGACCCAGCCCGTCGTCCACCACCATGGAGGATGTGCTCGACTCGCTGCTGGGACTGCCGCCCCCGAGCCGCTCGCCGAGTCCGGGGCCCGCCCAGCAGCAGGGGCACCCACAGGCACAGGGGCACCCCGCCGGCCATGCCGCTGGCCTGAGGAGCTGTGCTGATATTAGGCCTGACCCCGCAGGTAGGAGGACTGTGTAAGTTGAACCACCTCCACGATCCTCGTCGAGATGTCCGGGCGCAAGCCCAGCGCTCGAGAGCTCTCATACTATCGCTCGGTCTTTGGCGAGCCGAGTCAATTCAGTCTTCTGTTTACAACTGTCCTTTTTTCACTGTTTGTATTTATGTATATAGTTTGCTTTGTCTCTGATTTTGGTTGACACCAAGCACAGCTTTGGGCCTAAAACTTTGGCCGTAATAACTCGAAATTATTTTTCGGCAAATCCGCGGTGACTGACCAAGCGCCTGTCCGTTCTATTCACTTAAGCCGATGTCGTGCGTGGCTCACACAGCGGCCCCGGGGTTGACTCCTAACGAGGTGGTTGATTTGATGTTTGTCCTCAAATGTTCGCAATGCTGCCTTCTCTTACACAACGCCCCTACCGGCGCGCCCCTATCTTGAGTAGTGATTTGGAGTAACTGTTTAGTCGGGCACTGCACTCAACGCGCGTTCGTCGCCGCGCCCTCACTCCCGCCTCTGTTTGAAACAGGCCCGGAGCCCTGGCGAGGCCTCCCTTTAGCCGCACCCGTAACCGTAGACTGGTGACCGTTGGGCCACCCTAGCAGTACTGGTAACCTAGCCGGAGTGATTAGCGGGAGAGGGGACCAACAGGCAGCCAGGAGGGCGTCGAGCAGAGCCGAGCGAGTCCTCACGACCACCATGTGCTCTGTGTGCAGGGTCAGCTAGCGACGGCTGTCCGCCGGCTTGGGAGGACGTCGTCGAGCACCAGGAGAACGGCGTTGACGGTCCAGATGAGCCCGCCGGCTGGGAGGCCTCCGACCTCGTGGCCACGATCAAGGGCGTCGCCACGAGGCCGTCGCCGTCGGGAGGAGCGGCGCTGCCGGGTTGGGGTGACCCTGGCGGGGACGGCCCCGCGCCGCCGCCCACCCCGAGACCACCGGGCTGGCGGGGCACCGCCGTGGTCAGCGTGGTGGCCGAGGAAGGCGCGGAAGAGGCCGAGGGCGAGGCCCAGTTTGCTGCCGCCGTGCTCACCATGCCGCTGGACCCGGCGCCGCCGGGACACCGTCGCCGGAGTGAGAGCTGCGCGGAGCAGGGCGCGCTCCAGGACGACCCCCGCGGCAGCAGGCGGCGCGCGGCGCGGCCGCGGCGCGTGTCCTTCGACCTGGGCGCCACCGGGGCGGGCTGCGCGGGTGGCGCGGGCGACGCAGGTGTGGTGGCGTGCCGCCGCTACGGCTGCGGCCGCGTAGTGGAACGGCCCAAGTCGTGCCACAACTGCGCTCACACCTACTGCAGCCGCGAGTGCCGGCGCGAGCACTGGGAGGCGCACAAGCGGGCGTGCGCCGTGCGCCGCGTGGGCGGGCTGCTGCGTCGCGTCGTCGCCAAGGTGCGCGGCGACACGGCGGCCATCTCGGTTGTGGCGCGGTGGGGCTTCGAGCGCCGGGGCCGCGGCGCTGTGCGGCTGCTCTTCCACAGCACGGACGCGGCCGAGGCCTACGCCGCCGGGGAGGCCGAGGCCGGCGACGTGGGCCAGGAGCTGGTGTACGTGCGCCGCGCGGACCTGCCCGCCGAGGAGCTGGGCTGGTCGCTGTACGAGGACGTCAACCGCCTGTGCCACTCGTACAACCCGGCCACGCGCGCCGTCACGCTGGTCGTGCTCGAAGTGCTGAGCGAGGCGCCGTCCGACGACGGCGTCGTCATGTGGGAGCGCCAGCTCATCTCCAGAGTGTTCCGCGTACACCTGTTCGCCGAGGACGAGCAGGACTTCACCATCATCTTGCTGAACGCGGTCATCGCCGAGGTCACCGAGCGGCCTGTCGTGCTGCGCAACATTGTGAGGGCGGTGAGCCGCACCGGGGTCGACCTTCGCGACGAGGAGCACGCGGACGCTCTCCGGCGGGTGCAGGAGTACATGGATCAGGGTATAGGCCGCGAGGACGTCGACGGCATCGAGACGCTCGTTTTGGACGTAAAGAAGGAGCCCGGTGGTCGCGTCTTCATCGCACTCGTCGCGGATCCGGCGTCGGACATGACTAGCGTGGCCAACGCCCCGGACTACACCGAGCTGGTCGACGTCGGCTTCAATCAGCCCTTGAACCTGGCCTCAGCCTCGACCTCAGCCTCCGCCTCGACGACCGCTTCCACCGCGGCCTCCTTCGACGTGGAGGAGGAGTGAATTTCTTCGGGAGCAAGGCCTCGAAAGGGCTTGTGTGAACCTAGCGTTTCGTGAGCTGCTGGCCCTGGCCGCGAGGGCCTGGACCAGAGCCCCGCCCCCGCCGTCACCCTTCCAGACTTCCAGAGGGGTGGCCCTGGAGGCATGAGGCTCCAGGCGGCGGAGCAAGTGGCACTCCTGGAAAGAGGCGCCAACCCACGTGTTGAACTGGAGAGGACCTGTGCTGTTTGTTAGTCACTGAGAGGCATTTTAATGGTTTCCCATGAAGCTTCCAAAGGGATACTGACGAAGTATGTATGAAATAACAGACTGGTGTGTAATTTCCATGTTTTGACAGACTATTGAGAATTTTATAAAATCTGTTATCAAAAACATATCAGCCTCTTTTTTCCCTTTAACAAAAAGAATTTCAAAAATGGAGGGCACTTTGGTATAGTCATACCTTAAATAAGCACAGTTATTATAAAACAAATATTGAACATTCCAATTTTCATCTATATGCTGGTATTATAAAACCATCTGTGCCAAAATTAAGATATCAGCAAGAGAAACAAAGCCATACTGGCATAGGTGTTGCTGTCTCTTTAAACCTCTCTGAGTAGAATACCAACAATCGCACAAGAGAGGAATATGCTTTAAGAATATTAATAGGATTGTTTACTTTACTTTCTTTTACCATTTGCATTTTTGTTCAATTTAAAAATCTCCAACAGATATTTATAGAAAATTTTGTAGATAGCTTGTTTCTCCCCAAGGTCTTTTCTGTCTATCTACATTGGTTTCTTTTAATCTTCGTCTTCTTAATGAAATACCTTAAGAAATTTCAGTTTTGTAAAGGGATATGTACACTGTGTACTGTTGATTATATACTTTTTAAATTGTTACTATTTATTATAAGGTGTTTTTGCTGTGATGTATCTTTTCATTGGAAATATTTCTTACCAAAACTTTTTTGAATATTTTGCTTTCAACTCAGCAGATATATGCAAAAGTATTGACTGTTAGTTTCTATCTACCAAAGAGGTAACGCTATCTTTTAGGTCAGATTTAATATAGATACTGTATTCATATCTGAATGGGATATGATACACAACATCAGTTTTGCTTCTACGAGAAGGTTGGAGTATATTGAAGGATTTTAATACTCTTAACCATATCAGAATACACAAAACTGCTTATGAAACCTTGTATCAAATATGGATCAATTAGCTCAAACAATGCAAAACATTACAATAGGTGAGTGCTAAAATTACTGTAGGTATTACTGATGTTGTCAATCACAGTTTGAAGCATTAAGTGCCAAAAGCACATGTTGTGGATGCAGGTAAAATGACTTATTGGAATTAAAAACCATCACCTAGAATTTTATTCAGTAACAGTATGTTGCAAGCAGGCTGAAATCGAAACTAATTTGATGGACCGCAAAGTTTTACGAAGACTCTAACCAAACCATGGAAGCTGTGATGTATTTCTCAGCTGGTGCCACAAAAGTAAAAATACTACAGAGCATGGCATGGAATTAATAGAAATCAAAATAATTGCCTAAGAACCAGAAAATTACTTTATTTTCTTTTAAGAAGAGAGATAAGTTAATCAGGGTATCACATGGTTTCAAATTATGGCACTACTTTCAAACTCCAGCTGTTAGAAAAATGAAATGACTTATTTTGCTGATAATCATGAATGGAATACTGTTTTTCTAAAACATATAGAGAGCAACATGTATAGAAAGATTTATTCTGCTTATCAAATAATTTTACATATAGAGGTACTTCTCTCTCATGACATGTAGAGCAAACCTTTTGAAAGCAACTGCTCTCCTGGAATACTGCTTCTTAGTCAATGCTCTTGTTTTACACCAACTCTACGAGTAGGACATACTAATGTCAAAGTCTTAAAGTACCTTCATAGGAAAACAGACTGTTGCCCTTACCTTTAATACATTGAGATGCTGAGCATTTATGCATACTGTTAAGAGTTAAGAGGCTAATGTTTTAAATAAGAAAATCCTCTTGACATGCCTTTAGAAATTTTTCTAATGTTTAAATTCAAGAGCATGCTATTTAATAAATCTTTATGTATATATTTGTTGAAAATATAAATTGTGTTTCATAATATGAACCACATTTGACATTATTTCCTCATGTATCACCGACATTCACAGTCATAGACATCAGTCCAAGAATACAAAATGGCACAATTCAACAGACAATAAAATTTTTATGTTTCAATGACATTAAAAACAAATGACTAAAACAATATAAGTATTTTCTAAAATAACAACATTGGAAATATGAGTTTAGAATAGCTCACTAAATCCAACCTTCACCTTCCTTTCAGTATGTGTGTGCCTGTTGTTGACACTTACTTAAATGGTAACTTTGTCTACCCCCAGATTCAATTCGTATTATCAGTCACAGCCACGCTAACCCTCTTCCGGCAAAGAAAATGTAAGCATCGCATTAAAATGTTGGACAAGGATTAAACAGAATGGCTTTTGGCACACTTAAGAACAGATCTTCAGTGATTTAGGATGATGGAACTTTTGTCCAAGATGAAAGGGACTGAAAAATACCAATTCCAGCTGAAACCATTCCCAATGCTCCTACCTGCCAAGTTTTTAGCTTTGTAGACCAAAGAAATCCTTCAGGGAGATAGTGTATAGCATACACTAAATCACATGATGTGCGAAGAGCTAATAGAAGGAGTCCCCTTTGCTGTATAAGCAAACGCTCCATAGGAAACCTGAAAATAATAAATTAATGTAAAAATGGAACAGGATGAAAAGAAAATGAAACGGAAATAAGAAGTAAATATAGATAGATTTACCTGACATCTGCATCAGTTGTCTTCAAACACTTCTTGTGTTGCTCTAAGAGACTTAAGCTTCTCAGGGCTCTGGAGAGAAAAAGAAAATGACTTTAAAATTAAGCACGTTAGAATATTTATATGAGTAAAAGTCAAGTAGAGGATTGCCTTACTTCATGAGCCCAAGATAAAGAGAGATGACCCAACACACTGTGCTCGCATCAGACCAAGGGTCAGGATTTACTTTGACGATTTTTCGCTCAGCAAGCCAAGCAACTTGTTCCAGAGGGTAGAAAATAATGTCCAAAATGCAGCTGATTCTCCCTATCAACTTGAGATATTTATCTTTCTCCTGTAATCAAGAAATGTATATATTAGCATCTAAAATAAATTAATAGTTAGGAGAACAACTTTGGTGACGGGACAACTTACATTTTTCCCAAACTTGTAGGACAACACATACTTCAAGACTGGTACATAATCAAGGAATCTTAGTATGGTTCGGCAATTACTAATTTCTGAACTAACCAGCTTTAAATCATGTAAAGCTTTTGGGGACTCATAAAATCCAGTTGCAAATTTTAAAGAATAACAAAGTGCCTTCAGAAACTTGTCACGACCACTATATGTGTCAAGATACTCATCTAATTGGTCCAACAATATGCTATCAGGAGGACTCATAATTAAATGTAATTGTGTGTTGACAGAATTGAATCAGTAAACTCTTATCACAACAAACAGTTCCCGGGAGTTAAGTAAAAGCATGGGGTGAATCGTAGTTCTATGATACCAGTCTTTTGCTTGGCTTCTACAAGTCAAATTTGACAGTCATCCATTACTTTAACCTGGCGCCTCTAGGGCACTTTCTACTCTTTTAACAACACTTCCACCTTCCACGTTACTTAAGTCCTGGTACCTGTCCTGCAAATACTGCACATCCACCTGTAAATACCAAGAATGAGAGTCTGTAGACAACCTTTGAACTCAAAAACCTCGTTTTCCCCGTCTAGTCTGTCTTGATTTGTGAGTACATAGACTATATGGTGAGTTCAAATGAAACACTTAACTTTGAAATAAAGACTGGTGAACCTATCTGGATGCTTATCTCCAAAGAATATCAGCCAAAGTGTGTCAGTTCATGCATTGTGCACTGCTTGGCAGCACTGTGTAAACATTGTCTGCTTGGGCAAGGGAAGAAATGGCAACAAAGTGAAAGAAGGCGGCGTACACACCAAAACAACAAAAATGGCTCCAAATCTTGTTGAAGTATTGTCTATTTCTGTTCTTTTAGCCTTACCTTTTATTTATGAAACAAGCAGAGCCTTCAGATATTATTTCAAGTTTTTCGTTTACTATGCGCTTGTCATGTTAGTGTCTTTTTTCTTAATACCTATCATGGCGTTCCGTGCTGGCGATGTCACAAACCTTCTGTAAGTATTTGAATTACTTTTTTACCAATATCATTTTATTTTTGAATGACAATGGTAGTGTTCTGAAGTTTCGTAAGATTGAAGTTAGCGTCGTTATTTGTTTCAACGTCTGGACGTGAAATGTTCTTCAGAATTTTGGAGGATGAAATTGCCTTGTTAACCCCTTCCAGCCACCGGCGGCTGTTTCCATTTATTTTTAAACCTAACAGTCTGCTCTTTTATTTGGAGGAGTTTTGAATATTTTATCGCGAAGTACTTCTGTTTAGTTAAATTCGACCAATGCTGTCATGCTCTACTTCATTTTTGATATTGGTGTGAGGTTACACACTGCTCCATTCAAGTTCAAGTTCAAAGAGAATTCGCCTCCAGTTTACAACTAGTTTGATTCAGAGTTCACAAAACGTACGTGTGTTCCACGCCGGGCGTGATCCTTTTTCTGAGCTTAACGCAGCAACGATAGCCACAGTTAACTTTCTTTCAAAGATCGCATTTGGGTTTTGTGTCCTCTAAATCCAGACTCCAGACTAACTTATGTTTTTTTTTTTGTAATTTTCCATTGTTGTTTGATCACCATTTGCAAAGTATTTATTATGAGGAAATTTTGGCTTATGTTCTGCTTTATCTCGGCATACCAATGTCGTAGAGAAATTAAGTAAAACACTCTCAATTTCACTTCTTGAATTAATTTACTGCCTTATTTTCACAGTGGTGCATGTGATGTGGTTAGAGCTCAGTGCCCGGCTACACAGAATTTTAGCTGGTTAATTTGGTAATCCGAAGTGTAACCATTTCAACCAGTAGGGTACAGCTGACATTTTGGTTAAACGTTTAACACGTTCCTTGCGGCTCATTTTTGATGCCTATGCTTATGATTTAACATGGGATCGCGACCACATAGTGGTCATGCCGCAGCTAACGTGTTAAATACAAGAAAAATGGGAAGTAAAGAGTGCTCTTAAAAATGTGTTTTCATCTTTACCTTTTCTTTTTTTTTTGGGGGGGGGGGGGATGGAAGGAAGGATCAATTCTTGCTTTAGCCACTCAATTTTTGGTTTAGCTGGCCACTTAGTCCTATCCGTGACATATGCACCAAATATATCTTGGGTCAAGAATAGAAAATTATCTGAGCATGTGCATTCTGCCTTAGCAAAATTTGAAGTAGAGATTGTTGATTAATAAATTAGTCTTATTAATTAGAATCATTACAATTTTTGTAAAAACCAGAAAAATGAGTAAAGTTTTAACTTTTTAAAATTTCTACAAAAAAAATTCTTGTCCCTGTGTAATGAGGTCTAAATTAAGCAGTGCCAGGATATACTGTCAGGACTTTTGTGTATAATCAATGAATTAAAGTGAAAGTTCTGAACCTGCAATTCTGCATTTTTCCAGAAAGAAGTGCAACCTGAAAGACTCCAAATATCTGTCCGTGTTACTGCACAACGTAAGATTTACTTAGGTATTTGATACCACTAACTGCTTAGCTTTCAGAGCAACATATGAACACATCTTCTATTTACTATAAAATGCAACTAAGTGCTGAAACATTAATATACTATGTGGTTATGAAACTTTCATGGTTGTAATTGGTGGTGATTGAAACAATTTTTCTGGTGATATTTGGGTTCTAATTTTTATCTTGGTGTAAGATCTTGTCATTCTCTCTGTATCCCAGATCGCTTAGCATGATGAAATGACCTTCCGCTTGCTTGCTCGCTTGACCACATTTGACTCCTGACAGTTGCTAGTTTTCTGATTGCTGCTACTTTGCTGCTTCAGAGGATGGTGGTGGTTGTGCATGTTCTCCTTTGTGTTGTGATGATCTCCACGTGTGAGTAGGTGCTCTCTCACATATACCCTGTCCCAATCAATAATGATAGGGGTGAGGAAAAAACCTCTCATATGCGTGAGTGACAAGTGACAAGGATTGTGGAACTTTACAGGGTGTCTGGTCGGGTCACACTTGGGGACAATGGATACAGACGGGAAGAAGGGGGGGGGGGGGATGTTCTACAGCTTCGGCATTCGGCAACAGGTGCAAGGTGCAAACACCGCCTCGCCAGATCAATTTGCAAGTTGAATTAAATAATGGGAATCACGGCCAGGCTTTTGTTATCCGGCAGCGGACCATTCGAATGAACAAGCCTCTTCATCGGCATCACGTCGTAGGCCAAGAAAGTACTCGACTGACGCAGCTGCTCCCACGACAATCAAACTGTTTACCGCATGTCTGCTAGTCTTCGGAAAAAGAGAGATTTTGACCCATTTGAATAATAGTTTTAAACCCCCGCTGTTACTGAGTGAGATTCTAGGATGTCGATCGTCTTTACTGAGATTAACATATTGAGTCCCAAGGGGCTACGTGAGATCACGTGGAACTCAACGCGTCAAAATGAGGAATCGTCACTCAAAACGATCGAGGTTTCCCAATCATCAATGGGATTGAGATTCTTGAAGTATCGCTCTAATTGGACGAGGACGTTTACAGTACGATCGCGCTCTCCGGTAAGCATTTGCAGCGTTCCTTTTTTTGTTATTTTTCTTCTTCTCAATAACCGACCGCGTGCTTCTGCCCGCCCGCCCGCGAGCATGGTTGGGAACTTTACTTTCAAAAAGTAACGGATAGCAACGGATAGCGTTGATGATGATCGGGACCAAAAGTAACGCGTTTCGTTTACGTTACCGGTCCTGATTAACGTAACGCGTTATCGTTAATCGCAACGATTAAACGGCGTTAGCGTTAAATCGATTTTAAGGGGCCCCTGGTGCTCGAGTTGATTATCACCTGAAAATGCACGTTTCTTTATAGTTATAGTCACCATCAACTCGTTACCCCCTCCCCTAAATTTCTTGTTCACTTTAAGTTATTATAATTTAAAAATAATTTGTCGGAGGCATGGAACGTCTCACTTTCCATTGGCACCCTTCACATAGCAGCACTTCTCGGACGAAAAATTAACGACAACGCCGTTGCGTCGTTAAGGACAAAAAGTAACGCGTTTACGATATCGTTACAGGCACCTAAAATTTTATCGAGTCAACGATAACGTTAATTAACGAAAACGCTGTAGCGTCGTTAATCGTTAAAGTAACGTCCCTAACCCTGCCCTCACCCTGGGGGCTCACACGCTCACGGCTCCGTTCGTGCGAATCTGTCCTGGATATCGCGATCTGATCTGGTTGGTCCGTTTCCTCTCGGCTCGAATTGCCCCCCCCCGGATTGGCCGCCCGTCGATGACACCCGGACTCGCGCGGTGGCATGATCCACGCGAAACACGCTGTGAAAGCCACTATTTTTTTTCATTTCACTGACGTAATTCCAACATCCTCTCGCATTGATGTACTCTATCCCTACATAAATGAAGTGGGGGTGGGAAAAGTCAAGTCCTCGGAGGTGAGGTGTTTTTCAGCCTCCATTCGTCCCAAGCTCACACACGGAAGGTTAATTCTTGCCTTCTTGTCAGCTCAGAAGAGACTAAATTTAAGTTTGATGCCGGAAGCGGTGGATCCCCCCCCATGCCTATGCTTATGATTTAACATGGGATCGCGACCACATAGTGGTCATGCCGCAGCTAACGTGTTAAATACAAGAAAAATGGGAAGTAAAGAGTGCTCTTAAAAATGTGTTTTCATCTTTACCTTTTCTTTTTTTTTTGGGGGGACAAACGAATAATCCCACACGCAAAAACAAGCGTTTGAGAAAACAGCCATTAACTTTGCTTTTTCGGAAAATAATGTATAATGCCCCAACAGCAAAATGTTTGCTGCAGCTGAAAAATCTTTTGCTGTATTTGCTGTAGTATGGTAACAGCATGACGACCTTCAAAGGGGGCGAGTCAGGACCAGTACAGACTCGTTATGCTGATTTTTATTGTTGTTATCACCAAGAATGTATTTTGTCTGGAGGGCGAGGGCATCCAGATGAATTGTCACCATGGCTATTGACAGACTGGTGGAAGCCACCCCGGTTTTTCACCCACGAAATTGAAATCAAATTCGATTGTCTGCCACTGTGACAATTGTACTTGTGCCCCAAACTTACGGATCTTCTTCAGAGAAATGACGTCCGTTTTTCTCAGATTTATTCGGCAAATTACCGGAGCTCGGGCGCCTGCGAGACCCCGGGTAGGCCAGACCGCAGTACACGCATGCACTGCAAACAAGATGTTGCCTACCCACCAGGCGTTAGGAGCGCTCGGGCGCCTGCGAGACCCCGGGTAGGCCAGACCGCAGTACACGCATGCACTGCAAACAAGATGTTGCCTACCCGCCAGGCGTTAGGAGAGCTTGGTTAGGAACTCGCCAGTTTCGGAACGGAGAATGACGGACGTACTTTCTGGACGATCCCTTGCCGTGTACGTGCCAAGGTGGAACGCACTCTGTTAAAAAATGTCTGCGATTTTACAAAGAAGCGGTCGTGAATTGAATTTTTAAAGTCCTTTGGGATCTCCGAACAGTCTCTGTGGTGGCGTTAAATGAAAACTCCGGGGATAGCGCAAAATCGCGCGTGTCGAAGTTGGACAGCTATTCTAACCGTCGCAATAAGCTAAAACCGAAAACCTTTCAATACGTAAAAAACTAAAGGCCTCTTGTAATTTTCTTAAGTAGTTGAGATCGAATTTTCCGGAAATCCCAACAAGTTTTCAACAGTGAGGAGTACCGTCCCCACGCCCGGCTTCAAAACCAAGAGGAGTATGTATATATATTTAAAATCATCATTTCCAGAACAATCGCGGTATTTGAATAGAAATTTCCCATGCCTTTGAAGAAGTGGCATGACCGGTAACGCTGGACACCCGCCAGGAACCGGTCAGTGCTCCACAGCTCTGGTCTAGAACCATGATACAAATGGACAACGGCTCGATATCGGCGCTATACCCCCCCCTCCCCCCGGCCAAACTCGCTCTTTTATGTGTTGTATGTTAATTGCGACCATTACGCCACTCTAAAAAGTATACCTCCACAGTCTAAGCGCTGTGGTCGCCTTACTTGTCAAAACTTTTTTTTCTGAATTCAAATTTTCGGCATTTTTTAAGACTCTCAATCAATATTTTGCCTCTTTTCTTGTCAAAATTGCGCCTCTTCGTCTGGAGCTCGAGGTGCTCGGGTCTCTAAACAATATTTGGTGGCATTGGTGGTTAACCATCTTGTGTGCCCAGCAGAGAAAACATTTTTCTCGCTGCACATTGATCACAGACCATGACTGCGCTGCCCTGATCCCACATGTCGTGCAGCGCTAGTCCCCAAATGGCGTGCTTTTGCCACGATTTGGGCTTTTGATAACAGTTGTGTGTCTACTGTCCAGACACTTCATCGCGGCACAACATCCCCTTTCTCATCGCAATTCACGAAAGTGAACCGAATCCCTTGCGATAGTAACGCTTCGTTTATCATTTGATTTTGAACTCGTTGTCACTTTTGCGTGAATTTCCTGTTATCTCAGCTGTTAGCTCAGTGAGTTTTCAGTGACCCAAGAGATGGCGGGACAAAATAGGGTCAATCGAAGACGAATCAATGATTAAGTGAGCTAAAAGGATGCTCTTCTGAGACCCTGGGGCAGGGCGGGGCGAGGCGGGGCGTGTTAAGGTGCGGCGGCGGGGTGGGGCGGGCAGGGCACGCGTGCCGCCAGCGCGGTTCGACCATCTGACAGTCGCATCACAGCGGAGCGCGTGGACGGGCTAGAGCGCCATTGCCAGCGCCAGCGGGCCGGCGAGCACACCCGCTGTTCAACACCCTCCTCCTCTGCGAGCTGTACGAGCACACTCGGTGTTCAACACCCTCCTCCTCTGCGAGCTGTACGAGCACCCTCCTGCTCTGCGAGCTGTTCGAAATCACCCGTGTCCTCCTCCTCTGCGAGCTGTACGAGCACACTCGGTGTTCAACACCCTCCTCCTCTGCGAGCTGTACGAGGACACCTGGTGTTCAACACCCTCCTCCTCTGCGAGCTGTACGAGCACACCCGGTGTTCAACGTCCTCCTCCACGAGCTGTACGAGCACACCCGTTCTTCAACACCCTCCTTCTCTGTGAGCTGTTCGAAATCACCCGGTGTCCTCCTCTGCGAGCTGTACGAGCACACCTGTTGTTCAACATCCTCTTCCTCTGCGAGCTGTACGAGCACACCTGGTGTTCAACATCCTCCTCCTCTGCGAGCTGTACGAGCACACCCGGTGTTCAACGTCCTCCTCCTCTTCGAGCTGTACGAGCACACGATGACGCACGAGTTGGACCTGGCGGTGCTGCTGGCGGGGCCGTGCCTGGCCGCGGCCATGGCGATGCTCGTCCTCAGCAAGTCGTGCCGCTACTACCTCAAGTACACCGTGTACATGCTGGGCGTGTCGCTCGTCGCCCTCACCATGACCCCCATCTTCATGTTCAGGCCGTTCAACGTGCTGAACTTTGTGTGAGTAGTCGGGGTCGGCAGAAGTGTGCACTAGGTAAAATCCTGTGCCAAAGTAGAGGAAAGGTACAGCATTCCCGTACAAGGATACGGTACAGAATGCACGTGTAGTGCCCATAAGGCTCCGTGTCAAAAATTCCTGTACTCCGTACTTAAAACACCAGTAGAGTATTGGTCAACTTACTGTGCTTTTTTTCAGACAGTGTGTGTGTGTTGCTGGACCACCCGGGGACAAGCGGAGGAAAACAAAAACAGGCGTCAGAACTAAAAACTTGCCTAATTTTGTAAACCTACGGGCTCGCTGTGGCAACTAACTCTTTTCTTTGACTACTCATTCTTAGGTGCACAGGGAAATTCTCGACTATTCCGAAATTAGCCAATTTATAAGTTCTGACGAAGAATATTTTTTTCCCTGTAATACTAAAAAGGTGCGCAGGAAGTTTTAGAAAGTGTCTAGAAGGTAGATAAACGGAGAAGAGAAGTCCTGCTTTTGCGTAGTGCCTGCGACCAGTGACAACACTTGAGTGATATATGTTCCAACCGAAACGACTGTTTAGTGCTTTGTGCATACTAAATGTTACTGTACAGGGTGGGTGATCCGCGCCGTATTTTTTGTGTGCGGACGGGCTTGCTTATCGTCGCTCGCCATAGCATGTCCCCGTGCGAGTATGCAACCCGTCCGCACGCATGTATTCGGTACAGTATAAGCAAAAAACAACAACAAAAAAACACGGCGCGGATCACCTACCGTGTATACTTTATTCTGCATGCATAGCATACACATGTCCGAGCGAATTTGTTCATCGACAGGCATACATTTGTGGAGAACAAATGAAGAAAACTGTACCGGCTGGATTGTATGTCGAAATCTGTACCCGGCCGTCGAAAACCCTCGCCTTAAGCTAGTATATCGGAAACCACCGTACGGTTTGACTAGGAACACTCTTTCAGTCGCCCAGGGATCACGCCTGTCAGCCGTCAGCAGGACGTCCTTCAGCGGCAGCAAAACAGAAGGACTCGATAACATGACAAAAAAACTTCCCCACCTACCCGAACACAACGCGCGCGTTTCTGATCCCTCGGGGCGCCGCCGGTGCAGCGAGGACCTTGAATGCTCAGTTTTGGCGCGCGTTCTTGTGCATGTGTGGGTCTGTGCGTGCGTGTGCGTGTCCCCAAGGCGATGCGTTTGCAATCGCCGGACTCAGCGACCCAGTCACCCATGGAGGGCGGCGGGTCGGGTGGTGGGTGGGAACATCTACATCTACGCATAATATGAATGATCGCTTGACGTGCGCGCGGCAGAGCGGCAAGTCTCGGAATTTTGAATTAGATGAATAGGCTGCTACAGCGAGGCAAGCATGACCCCCCCCCCCCCCACCCTCTCCCACGACAATCTTTTACTAGTTTGCTTACATTTCCTTCTTTTTTGTGTGTGAACTAAGCAAGGAGCTAGTTAGCCCCCACCGCCCTGACCGACCAATCGCGGTACGTTTGTTCCGGGTAGATAATCCAAAAATGTGGGTATTTTTCGCCTCCTATCATTAGTTTGGGAGTACGGTTTAGTGGGAAGTACTGTTCGCGTTTACCAGCGCCGAGAGCGACACGGACACCCCCGATAAAAATTACCGCGGCGCTCAGAACAGTTCTTGTTCTCTCAAAGTTCGTTCAGAAAGTACGTCCCTATCAGAGCCTTGAAGCGAGCGAGCATCGGATGCCTACATGGTGTCCGAAATAAGCGAATTGGAGAGGGAGCTCTGTCCACGGCGCGAGCTTCTCAAGGCGCTAGCTGGTCCCCACTTACCAGATTCATTCGGCAAATTACGAGAGCTCGGAGCTCGGCGCCTGCGAGACTCATGGTAGGCCAGCCCGCAGTACACGCATGCACGGCAGGCAAGATTTTGCCTACCGTCCAGGCGCTTTTGGCTGAACAGGGCATTTTCTTAACGGCAAGTGAAATGACGGACGCAGTTTCTGGATGATCCCACCACAATTAGGGCGATAGTTTGAGCTCAAGAACGACTTTATTCCTTAGCATAAAATTAATTTTGTTTTCCACGTCTCTTGTTTTGTTTCGCCAGTTTTAGCCATTACTTTGTCGCTCACGAAGCAAAGTTTCAAGGTCTTTTGTATGTTATTAAGATACCTCACATATTTCATTTGTTTTTAACGGAAAGAAAGCTTTGTTTTGTATCCCTACCCACAGGACCATATCTATATGCGCGCTTGAAGCTCATTTTAGCCTTCACCGAAACGCTCTAAACAAAATGGAAAAAAAATCGCCTCAAAACATTGCTACTAGCACCCGTACCCCGTACCTCCGAAACGAAGCTGACGCCAAGAAGCAGGGGCAGTTTTAGCATGGTCTTAGCTCCGGCTGACAGAAGCAGTGAGGGAGGCGTACAATACTATGGCTTTTTTACTCGTTCTTTACCTGCCTTTTACTCATATGCTATGAGGTAAAAAGAACGAGTATTCGTTCTTTACCTGCCTTTTACTCATATGCTATGAGGTAAAAAGAACGAGTTTGGTGTGGCTTAATTTAGAAACATCAATTGATCTCTATGAATATGATAGGTACAAGTATGAATGTATGATCATTTTATTCAGTGAACTGTGCCTCACATTTCATAATAGAGGTATTTTTGAGTTATGAGTAGAAAAATTTTGGCCTTTTGAAAAATTTTCTAAGTGTTTCTCAGTGCATACCTGCAACCTTGTGAACCCATCATTATTTTGTTATACAGATTTACTAATATGCTTTGCATCTGTAATATGAATGCCAATTTTTTTAAAAATATTTTTTAGGAAAGCTTTTTAAAACACTTATTTTTAAGCAAAACACACTGTCATTTGCGGGAGCGAATCCAAAACTACTGATATCCAAAGGGGTGCTAGCTAGGCAAGCCGGGTGGCGCTATCTTTAGGAGAATAATGACAACACTCGTGCGCGGCCGTTTAAACAGAAGAATGAGCTCAACAATGTCTAGTCTAGTGAGGAAAATGTGAAATTTTCTAGATGTTTGGATCATCCTGTGATTCAGTCTTGCTCTTCATTTTGTTATTACTAGCACAGAATAGTCTGCCTCATTGCTTCTTAGGAATTTTTTAACCATTTATGAAGGTACGAACAATCATGCATTGCCCTTACAATTCATGCACAAATCCTTATTATTGACAATGTATTGGGTTTGTCACTAATATTTTTCTTACAGGCATGTGATGTGATGTTATGTGAAGTTATGTTTGAAAAGTTATGTTTGAAAAAGAAAGTAGAAAAAATACAACCTCATACACATACAAAAATACACACCACTAACTCGGATATCATTGCGTTGCAAAAGTTTATGTTCATATCTGTACTATAACGACAGTGTGTTTTGCATGAAAATAGTAGTATTTAGGGATATTAGTAGCTCTGTATACCAAAAAAAAACCCAAAAAAAACAACAGATGGGTTCACAGTTGCACGAGAACTGTGAAAAATACTGGAAAAAAATTCTAAAATAAGTCCACTGCATTCTTAATACTTATCATAAATGTTTCTGAATTACCTCATATCTAAGAGATAGGGTAAGAAGTAAAGAACGAGTACATATTTTAAACACAAAATTAATTTGGTGTTTTCTGTGCTCCTTGTTTTTTTCCTGCAATAAATTGGCGCCCTTGCCGGCTGCGACTGATTTCTAGACATCCGAAACTGTCTTTACCAGAAGGCAAATTCCTCCGCCCCCTCCTCACTT